TTATTTTCACTTATAATAACACGAGAGCTTTTTTTTGTCGAAGTAAACTTGACATGTATCAATAAGAATTTTGTTGCCTGACAATTTGACGAAAAAAACTGCCTCTGAAAATATTACCGTAGGATATTTTTTGAGTTGAATTACCTAATGGCAACAAAATTCGAATCATAAATGCCAAGTTCACTTCGACTAAAAAAAAGCTAGAGTGTAATTCGGTAAGACACTTTAATTCATCAAACATTATTTGTTTATAGCTGGTTGTCAAACTTAGGTTCCGTTATTGTCGCTGGAAAAGTTATGGCAAACTATTTTCTCTGTCATAATGGAAAAACCAGGTGGCTTGTGGGATTTTTCATACATGAATTAAATTGTCATTAAAAAAAGGACTGTTTAACAGTTTTGAACTAAAATGGTACTCTGAGTTGACACCATGAATTACGACAAAACTTAGTCACTAGATACTATGTTTGTCTATGAGGCAAAGAACTGTAACATCGACAGAAGATCTAATGACAGGCTTGCTACCATCAGTACAAAGTGCCATTAGTTTCAGCAAAGATATATCGGCCTGGGTTCTTTGCTCAACTTCAGAAAAGTTTTATGACTCCTGACTCGTTTTATAGTGAGAACGAGATATGGATTTTCCAGGTGACTGGTTTTGAAAAACATATTATATGAACTATCTTTTTCCAATGAAAATACAATGATATCGGTCCATTTGAGATACTTGCCATTGTCGTAAGTTCTTATAGACTTGAATCTATAATATTTGCTTGACTTCAAAAATGTAAATAGTCATCGAAATTCAGTGGATGAGGTTTTTTTTGTCTGGCTAGACGAAATACTGGCACTTGATTAATAATACTATGCGCAGAGTCCCCTTCATTTTGGACGTGATTAAATAAAACAAAAACTAGGCTTCTTTTTTCAAATTTTCGCAGCTCAACACAGTGTAAAAAGAGCAGGGACCATAATAGAATTCTCATTCTGCCTGCCAGGCTCATCAGCGAATTGGTGAGCAGACTCAATTTTCTTTTCTTCGTTGCATTTTTTCGAAAATCTAGTTATTCTTACGAACTAGTTTTTCGTTTTTATTCTTGACCCTTCTCAGGGACAGAAGTTGACACAACAATATGTGACTCACAGGGTGCTTTTTAATTGATGATGAGTTCATCATTTTCATCAACAGATTTTAGAACAAACTACCATGTTCTACCTACATCAACTGAACAAAAAGGAAGCAATAATATGGTCTCTGTTTAGAGAAGAATAATGCAAGCGAAAATTTTGTTTTATTTTTGATTGTCATCTTCTCTGCCTATGAGTTCAATATTATGACACTCTACTATGTGTTGTCCATTTCCAGCAAGGATATGTTCAGTTAGTTTTGATTTGTCGATATGTCATTTGTTCATATTGTTCTTATGTTATTTCGTATTTACTGAAAGATATAATTTTTTTGTTCTACAAACACAAAGTATACTGCATATAAAATCCTTTGATGAGTATTCTTCAGTATGAAAGTTCTTTCTCTGAATGAAAACTTTTATTTTTGAATTCAGATCTGTTCCTCTGATTCAAACTTTTCATTTTTCCCATGACGTCATCTTTGTAATGCATGTGAAATAAAAGGCGGTTCCAAAAATTTACAGCAATAGAAAAGCTGAGCAGATTTACCCATTATTCACATCAAAATAATGGAGTGTTTCTGATTTCTGAGTGAGAAAAAAGTCTATATTTAAAGAAAAAAGTTTCAGTTCAGACTGAAAAGTCAGAAGAGACTGAAGGACTAAACCCGAGACTAAACTTAAATCAGACTCGAAATTCTTAGGTCAGACAAAAGTTGAGATTAAAATTTGAATAAAATATCTGTGTTTTCGTGGAATTCCAAGGAGTTAGTTGTTGAACACTGAGGAAAGCTGTCATAATAAAGGATGGTAGAAGATGATGGGAGGTCACTGACGTTACTGTGGCGGTGGACCATAGCTCATTCTCAACCAAGTTCCAAACTCTATTCATGTTTGCATAATCTGGGATGATTGTTCATTCAGTCCGTATCTCAGGCATGATATTCATATTAGATAATGTTTGTGTGGATGCGGACGATGTAAACTGGAGATTAGAAAGCGTGACGAAAATATGTAAGGAACTGAATTCCCATTTTTTGAAAATCAAGTATGCAATACTCGTTTCCTGTTTCTTCAATATTAATTCATATATAGTTAACATCATGGGCATTAGAAGAAGTTGCAAAAGGAGTATATGAATTCCTCCCCTGAATTATACAGGGTGTATCTAAATAACACCGAAAAAATTCAAGGGGTAATTACTTGTGATATTTTAGGAGATAAAGTTCATGTAAACATGTGTCCTAACTTGTTCCGTTTTCAAGATACAGGGTATTAATATTTCCATGAAAAATCATTTTTCTATTTATTTCTCAATTGTCTATTCATCAATTCCAATAAAACGTTGTGATTTTGTAATTCTAGTGCAATTAGATTCGAAATAATATTCCCAGTGGCGTTATGGTGTGGGTGAATTTATCGATATTCTTGGTGAATGTCATTGTACGCCACCGGTTTTTCTGAGTTTCATATTTTTATTAGATTGAACTATTGAAATAACAATTTTTTTATTCTCTGTGCGATTTTTGTATCTAGCTTCGTTTTTGAGGAAACAATAAAAATTCGATTTGACTCCAAATTCCAATGTAGGTGTTTTCAAAACTTCCATTGAGATTACTCGATAACCCCAATTAGAATTATTTTGAAATTTTGAGGTTTTCTCAGTCTCCATCCATACTGAATTTTGGCACCATGAAAGCTTATATAGAGTGGTTATAAATAAAAACAATTGATACTTCCAATTTCAACATCCTGTATCTCAAAAATGAAGCAAGTTAGGACACATGTTTATGTATGAACTTCATTTGCTAGAATATCACAAGGAAACATCACCCCTTGAATTTTTTCGGTGTTATTTAGATACACCCAGTATACATACAATACATATTATAAGCACGATGATCTCCGAACATTATAGGGATTTCCTTTCGTGCGAAAAAAGAGATAAAAAAGTAACAATGAAAATAATAATTTTTTAAGCAATTTTGTTGTAGGTACAGTCGTATTCAATAAACAAGCGTACATATATTAAAAAAAGATGTCAACTTCATCCTAGTTCTAGTTGTGTAAAACTGGCTCAGCCAATCCTTTGTGTTTTCGAGAACCTATGACAACTTCACTGTCAACATTTGGTAAACAATCATTCCCGATAGCCCATTTTACGCAAATAGAATGACGTTAATTTCTCTCTGTTAAATATACTTGTACCCTTTTTTCTGAATACAGCTGTTTTTGTTTTCCCTTGTTACGTGTATTAAAAAAAAGGCCGCTGAATGATGTGGAATACGCAGATTATTGTCCATTTCAGATGCGAATTTGTCCCTGTTTATAAAAAACAGATATTCATGAGATTTCACAAACAGTATACCAATGATTATTTTCTTCGTATGATTTTGAACCAATCAGAAATATCAATTGAGCTGAGCTATGTTACTTCAAATTTCATCGTTACCACTTCATACTGTTAGATACAAAGCTCGTCGTCAAATTTTGACGTTCGTTCAGAACTGCTCAAAAAATAGTCGCATCGAATACAATTCGAACTTCCAAATCTTCAAGGTTATACATCTCAAACTTCCTGCACAATTACAAATTGTGTCAGTTTGACAGAATAATCCTATTTCAACTGTCAAACTGACACTCTCTGTAGTTATGCCACAAGTTATAGATGTATAACCCGAATATTTGAAGTACTTATGGTATTACTACTGAAAATAAAATGCGTGTGAGATAAGCAGACCATACCTTATAGGTACCATATCCTAATTCGAGAATGCACTTAGGATAGGTTTTTATAATATCACATATCACTTGGGTCATGAAATTTCAATTGAAGTTTGACCACATATATTCTCTTCTCTTCATTATTTATTGTCCAAACATCACACAATTTCATGGGTGGAAAACACATAGTATGCTCAAAAAGTCTGAGAACAAAAATATATCTTTAGAATGATTCAAAATTTTCTTGTTTCAAAATGTTCTACTCAAAAAAGGTGGTCTAAAAATTGATGCTGTGATTCATCTTTTCATGGCCTCCTGTGATCAGAATTACTAACAAAAATCAGAAAACTATATTATTAGGCATCATTTAATTTTGGAAACTGATTGCATCTCCTATTTGAATATACCTGTATTATCTCCATCAGGTGGAAGTTTCCTCAATCAGAAAAAGTCATGTTGATTTAAGTATTGATTATATAACATCGGTTATATTCAAGATGATAACGTCCTCGAATGACATAAAAAATGTGTCAATCTCTCGGATATGGATAGTGTATTCCTCAGAATAATGAGGGTATTTCGATATAGAAAATGTTTTCTTTGTGCACCCAATAAAGTGAGGCAAAATATAATTGATGTATGCAAGAGCGTATCAATAACATGTGGGACTGGGATAAATACTTATGATAATAAATATATAGATATTCTTTTTTGTGAAAGATGGAGCATACTTTCATCATATTATGTGGAAACCAAAATCATAGTATCACTTGATGCGTATTGGCGGAAAGGTAATACACTCTCCCACAAAAGGAAACGGATTGGATAGAATGGACGTAATATTGCCAATATTGGACCGATATTAACGAATATTATTTCGGCTCCTATCAAATATTGTTAATACAAGATTTGACATTTGCATTGCGACATTAGGAATATTGGGCCAAGATTGGACCTCGGATTGGACGATTTAAATCGGGATTGGTCACCAAGTATACACATATTGCTGGACAATCGGTATTCGCCACATTAAGTTTAATAAGTGTGGATATGAAAAATTCTATAGAGTTTCAAAGAAAAGAAAAAGAAAACTCTGATGCAGATGAAGAGTATTCCGCTTTGCGTTTTTATTCTCGAGAATTTTCTTACCTCTTCTTGTTATCGTACTGGGAACAGCCACCAGGACAAGACCGAAAATTAGATGCCAATGGTTAATCATCCTTGAAGCAGGTACACATCTGAAAAAAATAATTGCTTCATGAAAATAATGTTATTTATCTGATTGAATGATATTTAATCGAAGTACGAATATTGATAATGTGCACCAGGAATGATGTTCGCTCGGATGTTCAATCAAATAATCATTCGGTTATTGACCCTTGAACCTCCGATTGACCCCTAATAAACGGTGAGTCAGTTTTAGCAATACTTTGTGAATAAAACTATAATATTGACGAGTTATTGCTCAGCAGCAAATGATGGAAGATGAGTATTTTTATTGATTGCTGTGAGGGATTTATTCGTGTGATATAAATCATCAGTTATCAGTTCAAACACCATTTTATATTGTAGTAATAGGATACTTAATACTGAAAAATATTCACTTTCTGTTGACCACGAGTTATTAATATTCCCATTAGATATATCAGATTTATCAGAAGTAATAGCCATCTCAAACAGGTAAGTCCTCATTACTATTCATCTCACATCCCACAAAATTTATATTCAACATGATACTATGCTCATGAATATTGAATTTTTGTATCTACTTCTATCATGGGATTAGTTACAATTTTCTCAAGGGGGTACAATCAAATATTGGTGCAAATAATATAATTTATCATATAGAGTTCATCTTCTACCAATATACATAAACAAGTGAGAAAATTATAAAAAAGAATATTGAATATATACAAGGTTTTCGTTACAAAAAAAAAACTTTTGTCTTGAGCATACCCACTCCTGAATATCCAATGCAAAGAGGAGTCATGTGATGGTGATGACGTGACGTTTGATTGCAGTACATTTTTTGATTATTCATTCAACCACCAATATTATAACTTGTTTTTTTTTTCGATATTTCCTCCATTCTTCTATAAATAAAAATATTTGTATCAATAAACATGTAGTCATGGGGGTCGCCACTGCAGCGCAAGGGGAATAGGTGGGGGTCGTGGGCCCCTTGGCTCATGGCTCATGGTCGAAAAAATATACCAATATTCATTTATGCCTCAACATTGACAGTGCACTTTCTGATCTGAAAATTGCAGTATCTAAGTATTTTTACGTGTTTCAGTGTACATTGAGTATACTTGTTTTAGTTGCTGCCGACTATATGATTACTCAACTTTTTGAAATTTTTTCTGATATTTTTAGCAACACATATTTCTGTCAAGAATGTTCACTCACAAAAGTTGGTGGAAATCGAAATCTAGTTGTTGGTCTAGCCTGAATTTTGAAATTTTATTTTCCTTGGTTAGATGTCATTTTGAAAAACTTTTGCTACAAAGAAGGCACATGAAGAATGTTTTTTTATGACTCCAAAGCGTAGGTAGTAGACTTCTTATAAATAACGATTTCGTTCCAAATTCTTCTCTCAGCAAGCAGGGTTGAACTAAAAAAAAATTAACTACGAAATAGCTAAAATGCCCATGCATAGATTTCGGGACTCGTTCTGGAAGGATGTAATTCAATGTTCTACGTGACCTTTTAGCCATCAGGAATGTTTTTGTTTTCATATACCATTGTCGTTCATAAAAATTAAAATCATGAAATTTGCTACACTGATGTATCAATATCAAGTTTTTCAATATCATATTTTTATAAGTATCTGTTTCTGTCTATGATATTATACCGAACCAGGACAAGCCCTCTTATTCTAAGATCATGTCGCTGTGAATAACCTGATACGAAATTGATGCGATACTACTTCGTATCCAATGAATGGATAATAATTGAAATAGAATAAAAAATTTAACTAATTTGGAAAATATAATTTAGAAAAATATTACTCTAATTTAGATGGCAGGAGATGAGGAAAGAGTTTAACGTAATGCAGACTTCCATTAGGATTATCGAGTTGAAGAACTGAATTGATGGTTCTCTCCAGAGGATTACAATTCAGATGTTTTACGCATCTAGAAGGGAAAGCCTGGTCGCTTGAAGCTTGAAATTTCAGCAGGGTAATGGTCAACTGCATCCCTGATTAAAGGGTTGGAATGTGCATCAGCCTCAAAAACCTGGACATTTTTCTCGCGAATGAGTTGTCTGATCGTCAGGAGTTCGAGATCCCTAGCCAATTGAGTATATATATATATATACCAAGGGGAATTGGTAACTATTCTAGCAATCTTATTTTGGATTGTCTGCATTTTAATCCAATTCGATTTTGCAGCTTGACCCCAAGCTGCTGAGGCATACGTCAGAATAGGCCTAATCAAAACCTTGATGTCCAAACTCAACTTGGTCCTCCTGTTTAGGAAAGGGCTACAAGCTAATAAGAGTCTTCTTGGTCTTGATGCACTGAGCTTCAATGTTTTGGCTCCAATCGAGCCTTCGGTCAGCTATGACATCTAGATATTTTGCTCGACTCTGCCAGAGTTGGTCACGACCACCAACAGAAATAATTGTGTTTGGGGAAAGACGTTCATTGCCAAAACAAAGTAACTGCGTTTTTCCAGGATTAATTTCGATTTTCCATAATCCAAAATATTGTTCCAAGAGAGATGAAGACTGTTGGCGATTGTTTGCTGTCCTTCCTCTACCCAGAAAGTAAGAAAGGACAGCGATAAAAAAAATACTGGTAGATCAAAAGTAAAAAGGCTACATAAAAGAGGTAACATAACTGCCCTCTGAGGTAATCTCGCTCTGATAGGCCAAACACTGTATAGTGTCTTGTTCAGTTTGACCTGGAAGAATCTTTCTCTCAGGAATGAACTCACGAGCTTGATAAGATTTGGTGGAAAATCATTCACGATGATCTTGTACAGCAGCCGATCATGCCACAACTTGTCGAAGGCAACAATTATGATGGATTCTGGGAAATGAAAATATTCGGAATCCACCGTCTATGTATCAATTTTCAGTCCATAAAATGTACTTGAATATGTGGCTAGTGATAAACGTGGCAAAAAGTGACTCTCTGTTTGATCGAAAGCAAAAAATATTCACCTGATGCGACGCCCATACCTGTAGTTACGACAAATCAGTTAATTTGTTCAAAATGTCACTGTCCCTAAAATTTGAGAAACATTCAACCGATATACAGTGACACCTCGTTTGATAAATATTTGAAGTAGTGAATATATAGGTCCATAGAAAGAATATAGAAAGTCACTAAATCACATCGTAAAAATAGATTGCTTTGTATTTAAACACTTCTCAGATAAATGTGTTAGTTACCGGCTGTTATTCAAATCGATTTGAATTTATCGTTTCATGCTCAGATCTCATGAACAGAGGAAGCAATGCTGTTATCTCCGTTCAAGTGAATCAATGAGACCTCTCTCAGTAAGGCCGAAGAAACATAAGTACAATTTGAAGATAAAACACATTGACAAATCGAAATTAGCTGAATAAAATCATATGGCGAAATGGAATTATATTATCAAATTATAAGAAGTGAAGATATAACCCAATGATCAATCAAAGAATTTGATTGCATTCTTCTGAACGGAGGAAATGAAAATTATATCCTCTTCATTTGTATAAATTTATTCTCAATGAAAATTAAATGACAACAAATGACATATGAGAGATGATACGACCTGACAATAGACCATCGAAATACCTGTCAAATGAGGTTTCAACCACTATCTTTCTATCTGGCAAAAGGAAACATTCCTTATTGAGGTAATATACGAAATATGCCCATGTTCTTCAACTTTTTTTCTCGTCTGGTCTAAAAATGTATACAAGCAGGAGGAGGCTCAAGATTCACACTATATTATAATATAAAAATCAATAAGACGATATCTGATATCGGGAATATCACTAATCGACATAGAAAAATACGGGAATAACAGATTTTTTTGCGACTTAGCGATAACGCTTTCATTTTGAGGAACACGGAAATGTGTAGGCATGAGAAATGTTTTCTGTTTTTCAATTTTGAATTCAAAGTTTCGATCTCTCAAAGGTATAAGAATACGTGCGGCAAAACTGTTGCTATAGTAATATATCACAAATCGTTTAACATTATTTTCTAATTAATTAATTACTGAATGGAAATAGTCCTCGGAAATAATCTGAGAAAGTTGGAGATAGCTAGGAAAGTGGATGACTTTTCATTATGCATAACTATTATATATACCTAGATATTAAAGGCGAAAGTACATAAACTATACGCATACGGGGTATTACGGAATTAAAAAATGCGCTCGTATTTGAGGTGATTCAGAATACTATCAGATATACTCTGATGGCCATCCAATTTTGGGAAATTGACATTTTCAATCTGTCCAAATCTTCAATCCAAAATCCATTAGCTGGTATTCAGCGCACGCATTATATTTTTTACTATTCGGAGAATCTCAAAGTGCAGTGCGGCCTCAGATGTCGAATCAATAAACTGATTTAGAATTCTGATTCGTTTTTTATAGTTTTCGGAATTACTTTGTGCCTATAATCGGAGTGATTGTTTTTTCACAGTTTCTTCATAACATCTATATTTGAATAGACAAACCAATGATAGTCGAATCTAACCTCGAATCCAGCATGGTTCAGGAAGTATTTCTCATTCTTAAATTCTCTTTCCAGTGTATGGATATTATTGTTTCGTTACACACATTTTCTTGTTTCTATTCCAATTGAAATTATTCTCCAGAGTGTTCCTCAACCATAAACGGTTGAAGAAACACTTGAGTTGTGTGCAAAGAATACACTTTCGTTGAAAGATTTGAGGTCATCACATAGAAATCCAAGAATGAATGAGCAGGAAAACTGGTGTGGGTATGTTAATAAAAAAAGAAGAAAGAAGGCAGGAATAATTAGAATCAGAGATATCGGTGTACCGAGGGCTGTTGTACCCTCGGTTGTACCTATCTATTTATTGTAATACTTGATATGGGGTGCAAAAAAACACTTGTGCGAAGAATCAAAGTCATCACGTGAAAACCGAAAATAAATTAAGGAGGAAAGATAATTCTCAATCTAACATAAAACTACCTACTGACCTACCTATATTTATTGTAGGAAATACTTTAGTTTTGTTCAAAAAAAATACCAGTGAAGATATCAA